TATGTAAATTTTAGGCTAGTCTATACTTCCTCCACTTCCACCTTTCCCATTTACTCTATACTTCCCTGCTATCTAGATTTCACCTTAATCATTCTACGAAATGTATAAAATCCAAGGGTGACATTGATCTTAGTTACCAAACCAGTGATCCTTGGATTCTATTGGGTCATTGCCCCTTTCCTACTTCTCCAGGGTATTCCACTATATAAGTAAGTTCTATCAAGGACTTGTCTGGCAAGTCTTCTTGGTATCTTTCCCCTCCTGATCCCTAAATGTGGATATTCCCAAAGGTCATTCCTTTGTTTTCTCTATTTTCTTTTTCTTTTTGTTTGACAACTTTGTAGATTAAATTAATACTCTTACATCACTAACAAGACGGATATTTCTGGCGCAGCCTCTTTTCTTAAAGTTCAGATTTCACCCTGCAACTTCCTGGCAGATGCTTCTACTTGATTTTCCCTCTGGCACCTCAAACTCGATATACTCCAAACATGAAAAACAAAAACCCTTTGTTTCAAATGTCTTCTGCCTGTGTCTCCAATTTAAGTTAATAGGATCTCAGAACATCGTTTTCACTGTGGTCTACCTTCTCCTGTATTTCTATATCTAGCTATTTTCCAAGTCAAGTTGGTTCTATATCTGTAATGTCTTTTCCATCTATCTCCATCAGTACAATTCCCCTGCCTTCATTACCTCTCCACTGAAATATATACCATATCTTCTTTATCCATTCATCCATCAATGGGCACTTAGATTATTCCCATATCTTGGCTATTGTAAATAATGCTGCGATGAACACAGGGGGCCTCTTTATTGAATGATGATAATAGCTTTCTCACTGATTTTGCCCCAGCCTCTCAATCCTATGATTTCGTACATAGCAACCCAAAGAATCTTCCTAAATACAGCTTTGTCACCTCTGTCTTTAGAAATCTTCAAGATTGTTCAGTGCATACACAATAAAATGGTGGCTGGGGGGCGGGGTGAGGATTAGAGTGGAGGAATGAGGAGATCTGCTGTTTAAGTCCGGAAGTCCAAAGGCGCTGAGAACCAGGAGCTCCAATGTCTGAGGGTAGGAGATGAACATCCCAGTTGAAGAAGAGAAATATTTGCCTTTCTTCCCTTTTTGTTGGACACTTAATGAATTAGATGTTGCCCACCTGTATTGGTGAAATCAGATTTTCTTTACTCAGTCTACTGATTCAAATGCTAAATCTCTTCCAAAGCACTCTCACAGACACACCCAGAAATAATGTTTACTGGCTCTCTGGGTATCATTTAGCCATCAAGTTGACACATAAAATTATCACAAGGTTATGACGTGATTGTGACCTATCCTAAATCTCCCTTTCTTTTTTCAGTGAATTGTAATTCACATATTAATATGTCCAAAAAAATGAAAACAATTCAGATTTCCATCAGTAGATAAATGAACAAAATGTGGTATATCTATACAATGGAATATTATCAGAAATGAAGTACTGATATGTTCCACAACGTGGATGAAAACATTTGCTAAGTGAAAGAAATCTGACACATAGTGCCATGTGTTGTATGATTTATTTATATGAAATATTCAGAATAGACAAATACGTAGAGACTGTTAGTGGATTAGTGGTTGCTAGGGACTGGGAGAGGGCAGGAATAGGGAACGATGGCTAATAGGTATGGGGTTTCTTTTTGGGTAGATGAAAATGTCCTGAAATTAGATTATGGTGATGATGGCACAACTTTAACATACAGAAAACCACTGAATTGTACACTTTAAAAGGATGAAGGGGGTCCTGGAAGTTAGGGATGGGATGGCTAATCAAAAGAACCTGCTAGCACAAAGGGGAGGGGAAGTTTTAAGGCACTGAGCTCTTCTCCAGTTAGTACACCCACCTCCCCTATCACTTGTATCCATTCTGTAATTCAGAAGTTTTTACTCTTATAAAGCTTCCCTTTATAGACTTTCAGGATGGGAAACTTGGACCAAAGCCTGGATTTTAAGAAAAGCCAACTACTGTCACCACCATCCCCTCCCAAGGCAGAAACAGTCTGGCATTTCCCCTTTGTCACCAGGGCAGTAGTTGACTTTCGCCACTATAAGAGGCTATAAAGATTTTGATTCGCGCTTCACGTGGGCCCAGTGAGGAAAGAGGCTGTAAGAGATGTTTATTCTTCTCACTCCCATGAACTCATTGTCAGCATGCCCTCAGTAATTGTGTTCCAAATGAGAGGAAATACAAAACACTGAATACAAATAACAGCACACAATCTCACCTCTGTAAGTTGGTTCAAGTGTTTCCCTTGAGTACTAGAAGTACCAGGATAAAAGTTTAAGTTGACTTCAGGTGTCTATTCTACCTTTACCTTCCAGGCTTAGATCAGATGCTTTCTCCTCCAAGTCATCCCTGTCTCTGGATTCATCCCTTGCTCCTTGGGTCTCCTGTGGCACTTAGGCAAAGCCCCATGGCAGCCTCACCCTGCCCAATAATTACAGATATTACGTTATGTCCTAAGGAGTCAGCTGTAAGTAGCTTTGGGATCAAGAGCATGGGATTTGGAATCAGGGGGACCTAGGTTTGAATCCTGAATTCCTATCTCTTCTTTTGGGATGATCTGAACTTTGATTTCCTCATCTATTGAATGTGGATAATAGTGCTGACTTCAGACAGTTCATCAGAAAAGGAGGGGTCAAGAAATGGTAGTAGTCACAGTTATTATGGGAGGCAGACACTCAGTTTTATTCACTTCTGCTTTCTAATGGTGACCAATTCAGTGCTTCACACATAGGAAGAGCTTAAATATTTAATATTATGGAAAAAATTGAAAAACCTAATGTACTTTATTAACAGGGTGAGAAGTGATAGTTTCACCAAACTGCCTCCTGAAATGGCCTAAGGAAGTGAAATATTTAAAGTGAACAACTGAATAGAAGACCAACACTGAGGGCTTATCTGTCTTTATGTTTTTTTTTAAAAATGTGTTAAAATATATATAGCATAAAATTTACCATTTTAACCATTTTTAAATTTTTGTAAATTGTTAATATTTTAAATTATTAATTATTCACTTCAAGTGTGCTTCTTAGATTAATACTACAGAAGTTGATTTACACAAAGGACATGACTTTGATATGAAAAGCTGTTGTGGACTGAGGTCAAATCCATGGTGGTAACAGGACAACAAATGCTGACATTGCACATTGTGAGTCACTGGGCAGTCGGGAGAAGCTGATGGGTGACAGACACAGAGGAAAATGAGGGAGACAGAAATACACATAGGGTAACCAAAGAATGCAAAACACAGAGACCATAAATGATGATAGGATATTCCTGGCCAGAGACTAGATATGAAATAGATTTATTTGGAACTGGAGCTCACAAAGTTTCACATGCGTATTTTGAAAATGGTTTCCATCTAACTTAAAAGCCCATTCACTGGAATCTCACAGAGCATTTTAACCATTTTTTTTTTTTTAAGATTTTATTGGGGAATTGAGGGAGTGAACAGCATTGGGGAATCGGGGAAGGGGAACAGACAAGTTGCTGTTCTTTTGTTCTTCAGTCTAGTTGTGGAGGACGTCGCTTCACCAGCCCATGTTGGTATTGTGATCATTGCACTCTTCCTGGATGAGGCAGATCAGTTGCCTGCCATTGGATGGTCGCTCACGGTGGCTCATGGTGGCTCATGCTAGCTGCCAGGCACTCACACTGGCTACTGGCCAGTCACGGTAGCTTACGGCAGCCCACTGCAGCCCCACTGCAGCCTATGCCATCGTGGGCGACTCACGGCAGCCCAGCTTCAGGTCGAGCTGTTGTTTACCATCTTAGCTGTAGGGGGCATGGCATCACTGGCCCTCATGTGGGATCCGAACTGGTGGCCCTACTGCTCAGAGCTCGTGCTCCCAAGCCAACTCTTAACCAACAAGCCACTCGGCTGGCCCTTAACCATTTGTACGGCCCTTAGCCATACAATTCAGTAGCATTAAGTACATTTACACTGTTGTGCAACCATATCACTACAAAGGCTTGTCTTTATTAAACACAGTTCTTTAGCTGATAGCTAGGATACGGATACACTTTAACACATTTGTTAATAACGTATCATAAATCTTATTTTTTTTGAGAGATAAAATATCTAAGATTTTGTACTGCTTCCCGAAGCTCTGCACATTTGAATTAGCTGAATTATGGTGTAGTGACTTAGAGCCAAACTTGCTAGTTTAAGTTTTGGCTTTCCCACTAGCTCACTGTGTGACTTTGGATAAATCACCCAACTTTTCTGTGTCTTAGTTTTCACATCTTAAAAGAGGGGTCATGGTAATAATATTTCTCTTAGAGACTTGGGCCTGGCACATGGTAGTTGTGATATAAGTATTAGTTACTGTTTTTATTCCTAGAAATAATGTCTTCAAAGTCTCTTTCCTGCTGCCTTGAATGTGCTGTTAGGGCACAGACTTCATCAGTTTTGTCTATTTTTAGCTGAGTTCCTTGAAAGTACCTCAAATGGGCCTACAGTTCAATTCCCCCCCTTCCCCCCCCCCGCCTTCTTTTTTGCCTTACATTTTTGTTTGTTTATTTGCACATGGGCTTATTTGAGAAAGGGTTAATGGCTGACTACTATTTCATGAGCTTTTTGGGTTTTATTTATTTTTCCTTTTCTCCTTTCAGCATTTTCCCCTCTTATTATTTTTCTTTGTTGTAAGGTTGGGTTTTATTTTAAAATTTAAGTGAATTTGGGGAAGGAGATGTTTAGAAAAACGGACACTTCCCTTTTTAACTTTCAGAGTGCTTAGTGCCTTCCAGTTCATTTGTAAGGGCCCTTGGCTTTGCGTGGGGAAATCCCGAGCTCTGAGGTGGCTCTGTGGTGGAAAAGTTGTGAGTCTCCCTGCAGGAGACGCTGTTTATCAGGATTATTCTAACCCCAGGAAAAGGAGGAGGGGAAGAGGGCAGTGACGACACCAGCAGGGAATTAATATTAACAGCAAGTCAGTCAAACCAGACCAACCAGTTTTCACTTGCACAACCAGCAACAAGTCGTGAGTTCTCTTCCCGGCTAAAACGGGAGCTTCCTTGGAACTTGGAGTACCCAGAGGATTCTAATTTCTTTAAAACTTTGTTTTCAGTCGATTTCTCCAACAACCATTTACTTCCAGAGGATCAGTGAAATTTGATTTGAAGGTATGTAATTAACACCTTTCTCCCGATGCTGCAGGTCTTACACTCCACAGCCTTTTCCCTTGCTTCATGTCATAGAAACTTGCAAAAACTCTTATTTTCAATAATGGCCCTAGTTTTGGCTGGATTTATTAGCTGGCCCGGGGAAAATGAAAGTTTTAAAAGCCCCAGGAAGGCTTCAACACAGACTTACTGGTAGAAATATACTAGTCTACAAACAAGAGATAATGCCTGGCAGACTCACCAAAGTTAGAGATTTGGAATCTTTCAGGAAACTTCAAGGCAAATGTATGATGTGTTAGAATAGGAAGATGTCGGGTCATACGGTAATTCTATTCTTAAATTTTTGAGGAGCCTCCATCCTGTTTTCCATAACAGCTGTACCAATTTACATTCCCACCAACAGTATATGAGGATTCCTTTTTCTCCGCAGCCTCTCCTACACTTGTTATTATTTGTCTTGTTGGGTAGCTATTCTAGAGGATGTGAGTCACCCTAATAAATTTAATAATAATAATAATAATAATAATAATAATAATAGAATAGGAGATGTCTCCAAGAAACTGTATCATAGAGCTGCTAGAAGGGAAGGCCTCAGGGATGGTCACATTAAAATGGCATTTTTTTTTGTTTCCTTTTTCTAACCATAAATATCATATATGTTCATTGCATAAAATTTGAAAAACTTGGACAGGAGCCCAGAGGAAAATTTATATTATCTATAATTATGCCACCTAGATGTAACCACTCTTGGTTATTGATATTTTTGTTTTTTTCCTATGTTCTCTTTCCTTTAGAAAGTAGTTTCTTGTTTCTAAATAGCCAAATCTTGCATAGTGCGTATATACCTCAAGTCCTTATAGAATGAATAGTATTACATTGAAGAATTTTTTATCAATTTATTGCTCCTCTGACTCGAATGACATTTAGTGTAGAAAATACCACAGTTTAAGAACAGGTCAGTTGGAAATACTGACTTAGGTAATTTGTGACTTCCTACATTGATTTCAGCAACTTGACTAGAACCCCCCTTTGTTTCTGGGGTCTAAGATTATGGTTTCTCTTTCTGTTGGATACGGTGTGTCCTGTTATAATTAGCAATGTTACTTCATTGTTCTTGGGTTGGTAGACACTTCAGAAATACAAACTCCCAGATTGCTTTATTTCTAAAATGTAGGGCATAAATGTAAGTGCTGTTTCCTCCATTTGGTGGGAATGAATTAAGAGCTCCAACCAGAAAAACTCCAATGGGAAAAATTGTATTGATCCCCCATTTTGACTAGCTCCCATGGGAGATATTTTGATTTCAGGGGAATCAGGGTAAATGAGTTCCAATAAAAGCTCCCTCCAGACATCCTAAAGAGTTAGCATACAAGAGTTGGGGTCGAGTTTTCTGAGCTATTGGTTGTTGAAGTATCTTCACAGTGAGTTTTATTGCAGTAATCTTTTTTACTTTTCAGCATTTCTAGGCGAGTCTAGTGTCTGGAACAGAGAAGAGGGTGAGGGCCTTGGAAGTTGAGGTGCCATGTGTCCTTAGCTCTCTAACACACTGCCTGACCTCTCTGACTCTTTCAGAATGGCCGTGACTTCCAATTCAGATGCTAATCATAGCGAGGACTTTAGAGAGCGGCTTCTGAAAATTGATGGAAACCTGGGGGATCGTGAGGTGGAGCAACTAAAGTTTCTCTGCCAAGACTTGATCTTCCACAAGAAGCTGGAGAAGTCCAGCTCAGCCCTGGAACTTTTTAATTATTTCTCAGTAGAAGAGCTGCTGAGTGAGGAAGACCCCTTCTTTCTAGCAGAACTCCTCTATATCATGAAGCAGAACTCACTGCTGAAGCACCTCAACTACACCAAAAAGGAAGTAGAGAGATTGCTGCCCACCCGAAAAAAGGTCTCTCTGTTCAGGTGAGGAAGGTTTTCCATTCAGTGTTCATTCAGGCCACGGGGCTTTGAAAGGAGGCTGGGATTAAGATCTTTTTCTTACCTCCCTCCTTGTATGATACAGTGAGTCTACACTAGGAGATTTCTCAGCCCTAGGTGGTAATGAGATGAGAGGTTGGGGCTCTCTAGGCATAGCAGTGGCTTCCCTTAGTTCAGCTTCTCACTGCTAAGGGAAGCCAACGTCAGCGTAATTGGCCTCCACTTTTTTCTTTCCCAGCCTCCACTCCCAGGCAGTCCTCTCTCTTGTGAGCTGCTGGGTGTGTCCGTCTGTATCCAGTGATTTGCGGAGAGGAATGCAGACTTGGAGCTAAATTAGCAAAATGAAAAAGATGTGTCTCTGGGGTCAGGAGGCACATCATTTACGCCACATCCAGTTACATTTTTGGGTGAAACCCAGAAAGGTAAAATATAGGCCTCAGGCCTATCGTGGGTCACACCTTAGACAGCACTGTTTTAAGTTGTCCACTGACATAGTGTCTACAGAGAACTTCACTGACAGAGACCCTCACAAGGAGGTGCCTTTGAAGTGTTATTTTATCTAATTGCCTGGGTAATTATATCCTTCGGGCCCTAACACTTGAACTGGCTCCCAGAACCTGAACTATTCTTAGGTCAGTGAGGGGATTCTGGAAATTATTATTTCTATTCTGCTGTTTAAGCCACTGAGGAATGGTCTCTGACATTCAGAGGTGTTAGTGTGTGAATGAAATATTCAGTTTTTCTGGTTGTCCATTAAATGACTATCCAGAAGTTGGGATAGTTTCCTTCCTTTTCAACAGCGGGCTTTACATTGACTGGCATCAGGCTCTCTCTGCCAAAGGTCTATAAAGTAAGCCCAAATTCCTAGAATGGAGTTGGGAGATGGGAGAGCATGCAACAATTGTGTTTTATGCCTTCCTCGCACTGGACTTGGGACCCTACTACTTACAGTGTTATCTTAATTTAATAGGTCACTTTGAAACTCAACGTTTTGGTTTTTGAATGTATGAAATGGGGTTAATAATTGTCTACTCACAGGGTTTTGATTATTTACATGAAAGAAAACATTTGTAAAAGCATTCAGTTTACTGTCCTATGCAAGTGTAAGGCTTCATTTGTCTCTTTGGATGTATGTCTTAGAAACCTGCTGTATGAACTGTCAGAAAACATCGACTCAGAGACCTTACAGAGCATGATCTTTCTTCTGAGGGAATCGATGCCAAAAATCCAATTGGTGAGTGGGTCATATAGAATGTAGTCTTTGTGAGCATTGCCTTACTTGGCTTTTGGGAAGATGCTGGAAAGTTTGTCAAGACCGTTTATTTTTTGCGGGAGACAGCGTCGACAATACAATGGTTAGGAACATTGACTTTGGTATTGAATGTGCTTGGATTCTAGTCCTAGTTCTGTGACCAACTCTTCCATATGTGAGGCGAGTGACTGTACATTTCTGAGTCTCCACCTTCTCCTATGTTATATTGGGACAGTCATATTACTTCCTTCTAGGACTGTTGGGAAGATTAGAGGAAGTAATGTACATAAAGCATTAGCATGGGGAATGTATTTGGCGCACAGTAACCATGCAGTAAATGATTAACTGCTATTGGCATCCACTGTGTTTTAGGATACAGAAATGTTCAGAGCACAATAAAGAAATGAGGAAGTGGGAAATAATGCAGAGTGGAAATTGGTGGTTCGTCATCTACATTAATTGAGTTGTCTAAAGGAGCTGTGTGTCCTTTTCAGTGGACTTTGCAGTGTCTTCCATGTAAGGCTTCTGTGACAATCAAATGAGGCAAATGTTTGAGGATGTACTTTGTAAAGGGCTGTACAGGTGCTTTGAATGTTTTTAATATCAATATAATGCTACTTGCTAATATCTTTTCTATATTGGTCACACATAAGGGCAGAAAAATAGCTGCATGTCTCTCTTCTAGTTCTTAAAATTTATATTTTTAATTTGACTTCAATAACAGCTTGTGACAAGCAAGCTTAGTTAATTTGGAAAGGGGCCAATTTTCAAATTTTACCCTGTAACATTACTTTAACTCTTTTGTTGCATTAATTGATTTCAAGTATTTTTTTCAAAATGTGTCAAAAATTCACAAAAAACAAAAAGTTGATATTTTGACTATTTTATGCATTTAATAATAACAATTTGAGCTGCTTTGTATATAAATGACATTATTTTATGTATAAAAATTCCCTATTGTTATTCATTCTTGAAAAACACAAAAATATAGAAAAATGTACATCTGCTTTCCTAAACTTCCTTTCTGGAAGTTTCTATCCTCAGTGAGTGGATGGAAATATTCATTCGGATATATCTGACCGTTGCAGCAAAAGGGTTGTTATTCAACTGCTATTTTTATTAGATTTTAAGTTATATAATGTTTGCTAATACACACCAAAAATAATATATAACATGTATGGAAGTTATGAAATGCAGCACTAAGTGTAAAGCCATGAATTCTCCCATCCAACTTATGAATGACAACCTCACCAACCCTCTTAAGCCTGTATGTGTAGCCTTCCCATATCACATTCTCCCCGGGTCAATGGATATTATTCACAAATAACGTTTTTCTTTTTTTAGAAAAATCACAGAGGAATGGGAAGCTGTTTTAAATGTGGTAGGTCAAACAAATGAGGACAATGTTAGTCATTAACTGCAGATGTTTCTTGGTGTCAGGCCTGTAGCAGGCCACAATCTTTGAGTCTTTTATTTTTCCCCTTTCAAAGCCCTCAGGGATTTTAGCCTCTTGTGGCCTTTGATTGGCCATCTCTTGAGGCTCCTTTCTCCCAAAGGTTGTTGTGGGTTCCTTTGGGGCGGAGGGGACTGAGCCTTACTCCTTGTTATGGCCCCAGAACCTTGCAGAATTTTTTACAAGATGGTGCTCTGAATGAAAGCATGAATGAATGGAACGTTGCAATCTTCTGCTTTCTCTTTCCTTCTGAGAAAATGACCTGAACACTTTCTGTTTATGTGATTTGATAATGAATCACTGGGAGGATTAGCAGAATGAACTAAACCACCATGATGAGGATGGGAAATATATAACATTCTCATAGTTGTTGCTTCTTGTCAGAATTTATTAATTTTCTTTCTTATATAGCCCCTGGAAATTCTGATATCCTCTTGTTTTTGTTCCTTACACTCTTTTCCTTTTTGTTCTTAAACCTGCCTCCCCAACAAATTATGAGTACAGAAAATGACACAAAACAAACATACAGCTTAATGAATTATTATAAGGCTAATATCCTTGAAACCACCACCCAGGTCAAGAAATTGAATTTTGCCAACCACTCCAGAAACGCCCCCACTTGCCCCATCTCAATCACACCCCTTTCCACCCACTAGAAATAACCACTGTCCTGGCTTTTATAGTAACCACATTCTTATGTTTCTTTATGGTTTTATCACTTACCTGTGCATCTCTAGACCTCAATTTAGTCTTGACCAGTTTTTCTTTTGAGTGTCATTTAATTTATAGGTTAAACTTCCCGCACCCGCACCCACCCCCATCACTTTGTTTTTCTTAAAATTTATGTGTGGAAGATCCCCAGGACAACTGGCCCATAGAACTTCCCCCAGTCTAGGTTTTGCTGATCGTGTGTGATTGGTACAGTTCAGCATGCTCCTCTGTCATCTGCATGTGCTGCAAATTGGCAGCTGGATTCAGAAGCTTCATCAGACTCGGGTTAGAGCTTTTAGTCAAGACTATAGTAGTCTTGTGTTGCATTCTTTTGTTGGGAGGTACGCAATTCCTGGTTTTCCCTCTTTTTTGGTATTAGCAACTGTTGATGTTCAGCAGTTTTATGTATTGATTCTCTGGAGGTTGCAAAATGGAGACATTAAAATTCTATCGTTTTGTTTTCTCTTCATCTACTATTTGGTTACTCGGTGACATAAATCCTTGACTCTTTCTCTTAAATAAAAATGTTCAAAATAGTTGGCAGGTTTTCTGTCATTCTCTGAAAGTAACCCATTATAAAAATATATAAATTTTAACTCATGGATTTAAATATATTTGATTGGTTTCAATCCATTGCAATTATTATCCTTATTGAAGTTCAAATTGTCCCATTTTTGCCCAGTGGTAGCTTCTTCGAGTTGGTTCCTGAGTCATTTTGACGTTACTTTAGTAGTCTTTGATGGCTTTTTTGGTGTGACAAGATGTCACAGGTTCATTTTGTACATTTTTTGCCCAGACCTAGAATCTGTCGTTTTCCCAAAAAGTCCCTATTTCTTTTCATGAGAAATGTTATTTCAAGACTACAAACTAGAGGCTAAAGATGATGATTGTTTCTAGTTGTTTTTGTTTTGTTTTGTTTTAAAGGATAGTGTTAGGAAATTGTGTGTGTGTGTGTGTGTGTGTGTGTGTCTATTTTTTGTTTTGTTTTAATATAAAACACCTCATAAATTCATATTGCTATTTTTCAAGTCAAATTCATGTTTTTAATTAACCTCTTCTATATCATACCTGTATTTTCATTTTCTCTACTGAAAACCTTGGTCCTCATGTCACAGGGGATGATAGAGTTAGTCATATGATTATTTGTTTTATGCCATATTACACATACAACATTCTCACAATATCTATATTAATACTTTTACTACCAATATGATTATTCACAACTGCTGAAACATTATTTTGCATGTGCTATACCCGTTGTCTTGCCATTTGTTTTTAGGGTTAAAATATATCTACATTGTCAGAGTATATAACCACTATGTACTACACTCTCTTTTTAAATTTTATTTACTTATATTATTATTACACTCTCTTTTTTTTTATTGTTAGTTTCAGGTGTACAGAACAATACAATAGTTACCCTTTTTCACCCTCACCAGGTAACAACCCCCCTCCCTATTACACTCTCCTTTAATCTTCACTTAGTCTTTTTACAAGTAAATATATGTGTGTGGAAACTGAGAACACCTTATAAAGGTCATTTTTGTCCCTCTAGAGCACCCATTTGGAGCACCCATTTTGTCTGAAGGGTGTTCAGGCCCTCCTCTACTGGCTCATAAAAAATATATTTCTGTGATAAATGTTTGCAATCGCAATTGCAGATAATGTAACCTTATTAAGCCCTGGTATGGAAATGCAGATGAGTTTCCATACCAAAGCTTAATAGGGCTGCATTTTATACACACACACACACACACACACACACACACACACACACACAGGGTGCCAAAAAGACGTATACACATTTTAAGAGATGTTATCTGTATAGCAGTAGTTCGCCGTAATCAGAATGTCTGGATGCTGATGGCAACCACGTTGAGCACCTCTTGTAATTGCAGAAGTCAAACATGACTATATATTGAGTATTACACTTTTAATACAGTTTTTTTCCTTTCTTAAAATGTGTATATATATTCTTTGGCATCCTTTGTTATATATATATATATATATATATATATATATATATATATATATAGTAATACCTTGGTTTGCGAGCATAATTCGTTCTGGAAACAAACTACTCGTGTTGCAAGACATCGCTTGTTTACCACGTTAAAATGTATTAGAAATGTTTGCTCGTCTTGTGGAACACTCGCAAACCATGTTACTCGCAATCCAAGGTT